AAACTTTAATAAATACCTTTTAAGGTTTTAAACTGATTCCACCGTGTCGTGTCTTCCCATATGTTATGGCTCTTGAGCCGGGTCGTAACAGATAGATAGATAGATAGATAGATAGATATACTGTATATAGAGGAGACTTAAATATTTCAGAGCTAGATTAAGTCTACGATCAACAGGAGCAAATTACAGAGCTGCTCCTCCATCAGATTGAGATTACCCTCCCCCAGTTTAACCCTCAATGCACCACCAGTGGGACATTTCCAGTTTGTTACTTTCTGCCTCTTTATAGACCGACCCAAACTACCAGAGACTTGGAATTCGCATTATAGGCTGTTCAAACAATTTGATTGTCTTTTGATTGACACCTCTTTTGACCAACTGGGTTCATCTATATATATTTATGCAGCTTTAGACATGATAAAATAAATAATAGTTACAGTGTATTTTAACTGCAATCACTCAATACTGGCTACAGTTAAATGACTGCCAAAGTAAAAAAAATTCAGATTGATAGCTTTACAGAGAGACAAGGCTTGAGAATTTTTTCCAAAGGGTTCAAGAGCAGAACTTCAATATGACCCCTGCACACGAAGTGGGAGTCATATTGATTTTGTACCGTTTATTGATTTGTTTTTAAAAAATGTCAGTGATTTTTGGTCAACCGTATCATGAAAATCAACATGATATTTGGCAGGAATGTAGATGTGTCCGACCTACACTGCACCAGCCACAGGTTTTACAATAGACCCCATACTTGAGGAGGGGGCTCCATCTAAAAAGGGGGTGTCTAGACATACAAAAATGCTCATAACTAAAAAACTACATCAATGAGCCCCCCCCCCAAATAAATAAATAAATAAATAAATAAATAAACACCCAAAACAATAAATTTGTTGTGGTGAATTCTGGTGAAATGGTGCTTTTTTATGAACTGATGCTGCTGCTGTTACACCTGAATGTCCCCTCCGTAGGACAATAAAGGCTGTTTCTATTCTATTCTATTTTTGCGTAGCTACAGGGGTCATATGTGTTACAACTATGCAATGCTGCACCTAGTGTTATTAGGGTTAGGCCTGCAGATTGACAGGTTGAAATAAACTCACCGGTCCTTCCCCGTCTCCTTCTTGAACAGATCATCAAACTGCAGCATCTTCTGCCAGGAGATGATGTAGACCTTGAGCTTGGGCAGCACCTGGTTCATCAGCCGCAGGTTGTTGTAGACCAGGCCCTTCCCATCGCGCCTCATGTAGCTGCTGGGGCCCCAGAAGATGAAGACCGTGTCCTGGCTGGYGTTGAGCAGCTCGTGGCGGCTGCGCAGGACGCGCTGCATGCTGGAGTGGGCGATGACCCTCAGGGAGGTGCGGCGGCCCACGTCGCGGGCGTAGCCCCCGGCGGTGGGCGCGTCGTTCATGCGGATGACGCACTCCGCCCGGTCGATGTCGGGGCCGCGGCCGCCTCCGATCAGGTGACCTGAGCTGGTCACCAGGGAGCAGGTGTGGCAGTGCATCGTCAGAGGCTGAGGAAGAGGAGGAGGAAAGACAGCTTTTAATACAAACTAGAAGAAACCTCCGCCAAGACCAATTTCCACATCCTGTAAGAGTTAATGCACAAAAGCAGAGATGGAAACACATTTGCTGATGAAGTTCTGACGTAGTGAACATTTAAGCAGCAGTATGCACGGGATTTCTTCTTGGTGGAGTCCAATGTGAAAAAAAAGTCCGACTGGTCACCCGACGTTATTCAT